GGGGGGTTTATATAATTGTGACATCCAATTTTCAACCACAAATCAATGGATAAATTAGAAAACTAATATTTTTGGTAATTTGACTTAAAATTATAATTAAATGCATTTTAGGTATTTTAAAGTATTTTAAATTTTTTATCTCTCCTATCTCTCTACTACCTCCGGCCTCCGACGAACACCATGTTATACCCAAAATACACCAAAAAACACAATGTGATACTCAAAATACACATAATGTGATACCCAAAACATACCAAGTAAACGTTGAGACCACTGTGATACCAATTGTGGTATATATGTGATACCAACTATGGCGGGGATAGGGGAAGGGAGATAGGTAGTGAATGGGTCACAGGGACAAAGATGAGGCTAGTTGGCGGGAATGCTACAGGAGGGTATTTAATGGTCGATCATCGGAGATGTCGTCTTGGTCAAACAAGATGACTGGAAGAGGTCACTGGAGTGGTGGTGGGTGCCAGAGAAGGCCACTGGATTTGTGTGTGTGTATATATATACATATTAAAATAATTAAACTAATTATAGTAAATTGGAATATTAAACTAATTAAAGTAAATTGAACAATCAACACAATTTACTAATTTACCTTTTGTTTTATTTTAGTAAATAATATTAATTATCTAAAMTRATYGGYTCATATTKGACCTCACRATTRCCATAAACTATCTAGTTCTCATTTAATTAGACCCATATATATACATATATATGTGTGTATGCATATATTGTTGGTGTTTTTTAACCTGGGATTCAAATTAGGGAACAATGTTCAACCACCATTCGTAAATTCTATTACGTTCAAACATATATTTCGGATTTTATCTTTTAATAAAAAAAATTGCATTATTGTCCATTCTCAGTTTATAATAATATTTTACATCCTGTCATATCACGCATGTCGTTATGAAAGATATTAATAACATGTGATTAATACATATACGACTTTAACTAAAACTGTATATATAGATCATTGAAGTTAAAAAGCAAGTTTCTTCACACATTAATTTCCGATGTTAGGTTTGTATCGTTATCACCCTGTTGGACTGATTCATTACATCCACATTACATGGTGTTCGTTCTTGCCTTTTCCATGTTTTAGTTTCAAAACCGAACAAAAACCTTTCAGAGTTTTGAGATATTACGAAAGAAAGACATACAACAATATTTTTTTAGGGAAATTTGATTTGAGACAAAATGATAGTAATTTTTTGTCCTTATGTGAGAGAAAAGGTGAAAGGTCATAACTAAGGGAATTAGAAGTCATTTTTATATATGAGGTGTTTGGGATTGCTTATTTAAAACAACTTATGTTTTTTTGTAAAAGTGTTTATTAACTTATATGGTATTAAATAGGAGTTAAATAAAATATAAAATTGTAAACTGATAATAAACAATTTTTCATAAGTCAGGAAGGATTAACTTATCAAAAACAACTTATTACCGGTTTGACACCGGTATAAGCAGTTTTTTTTCTTATCCAAACACCAGAAAACAGCTTTTAACCGATGCCAGACTGAAATAAATTAAAAAGCAATTTTTATAAGCAATCTCAAACACCCTTTAATAAATGAAGGTGGTAGAGGATTAAATAAGAAAATGACAACTTCACAAAACTACATCAATTCAATCTCACATTTGACTTTTAATATTCAACCCTTTTCTTGATTCACACTACAAGGCATTGTTCATGCATTCCATGTAAACTCTTTTCAAAGTTACATTTTAATCCTTGACTTTTTGAGAAATTGCATTATAGACGAATGATTATGTGAGAATAAGAGTTAAGATGAGAACCGTAAGGATAGAATGGACTCTTGATCATTTTTAATCTCAACCCACCCTCATGAATTGTGCTGCTCACGACGATGCATCTTATTAGTGTTGATCTCCAATTAGAATTGATTCAAGAATAGAGATCCCTTATTACCCTTCTCACCATAACTTTCAGTCTTACCGGAACCCAACTCTTGTATTATAATTACATCTTTCAAGTAAACTTATAACTGATACTTGAACTAGATCTTTGTAGACCACGATGCAAATATGCAACCAAAATATTAATACTTCTTTTATAATTATGTTTTATATTTCACTGGTATCAAAATTCCATCCCCCCTCCCCTTCTTCCACGACGACTATATGCAAAGATGCATGTTACATAAATTCGATATTGTTCATGCAATCCTTGTATTTTAGCATCTGAACCGGAATTTTCTTATTTAAAATCATATATGCATGATTTTGTATCTGTATGGACCACAAAGCAACCATGTATAAATCAAAATAATATTATATCACTGAGTTGTATTTTTATCATTTGTTACATCAACATGATAAATAGTTGACATCTAAAACGGTTATTCAGATACTTAAATGCACAAGTATTATTTTACTAGTTTTAGTTGGCATTGTTGAAAAAAAAGACAGAAAAGGAGAAAAGAAAGGATGGCATACCTTACACATGGGTGCCACCAAGACTCCACCATCCCAATACTCTGGGTTCTTTCTATGTAACAGGAGAACCATTCCTCCTCCCATGGATTCTCCAAGCAATATTCTCATCTTTCTTTTATTTTCTTTCTTTTCTAAACAAAATAAAACACACCCATTAATATTTTTTTTGATTAACCTGATATCCAATCTGCTATATGAGCCGACTAATCTCAGGACCGGAGTCACTGCATTTAAACCTCCGTGGTCACAAGTGGATTTTTATTCATCATTGGATTTGAAGCTGGGATCTCCAGGTATTTTTAACCTTTGGAGCCAGGCTCAAGCCAATCAGACATCACCATTTGTTCAGACCCAGTAATTATAATCCATTTCTCTATAAAACCCATATTTATTTTCTTTGGATTTAACATTTTATACAAAATACGTTAGTCTTATATGTTCATAGTCGTTCCGTAAAACAAGAAAGCAAGTCAAAACCGTTGTTCTACTTGACCCGGTCAAAGTTGGAAATCTTTTAACTTTTTGAGTTGGATTTAATAGCCCTGAAAATTATTTTAAAGAGCTTACCACAAATGCTTGTGAAAAATTCGGAACAATCGGTGACGAGATCGTCGAAGTTCGGGATGAAACCCTGAATCCCGGATGATTTCCCATGGCCTTGGTTATCAATTCCGTAAACTGCAAATCCTGCCTTCACAAGCCTTAAAGCAACTCCTGTTAAGATTTATTTTAACATGATTAGAGTTGTCGATAATCAACTTTTTGCCCAAATGTTGAAGATATATCTTTAATAGTCGGTCAAACTTATCGATCTTCAAAGTCAAAATTGATCCAAATACCATCAATATCAATTTTGGTACTTGAAGATGCATGTATTTGAAGATAGTTTCAATAGTATCATTTGTAGCTATCAATTTCCAGGAATAGACGATGGAAATCTTCATTAATTCGACCATAACAAGTAAATAGTTTGACTTTGAAAAGTCAATCAAGAAAGCAGTTGACCTCTCATGGAGACGCTGCATTCCATGCCATAGCCATGGTTAAGAAAGATCAAAGCTTTAGGTTCAGAATCAACAGGTAGCCAGCGACACGTAAAGAGCTCCAATCCTTTCGAGTTTACGATGAATTCCTGCAAATTTTTCACAGCAACATTACCGTAAATCCCATGTATTCATCAGAAAAGAAACAGAGAAGGATTAAAAATTCGAAATTTTTGAATAATACCTCTTCATATTTGAAACTCGAAGCTTCAATCGCCTAAAAATGGTTCAACATCGAAAGCCCAGATTCAAAAAACACTCAATTAATCATACAAAATAAGAAAAGGAAAGTAAGAAGAGGAAGATACCATGAAACAGAGTGTTGTTGAAATCTTGATGAAGATCACAAGCTTTAGATTGTTCCTGAGATTATGGAGGTAGAAGAAGGAGAAGAAGGTGGTTGCAAATTGCAATGAAAATGGAAGAAGAGTTGATGAAGAGATTGAGCAGAGAATTTTGGAATCGGAGAGGATGATGTGTGTGTGGAGTAAGAGACGTGATCTCTGCTTATATCGAGGAATGAGGAGTTGTTTGTGTACAGTTTAGTCTCTTGGATTTTAGTTGGTGGATTTTTATTTATTTATTTATTTATTTTAATTTCTTTTTCTTTTTCTTTTTCTTTTTTCTAAATAATTGTGGGTCAAATTCCATGGAGATTGAAGTGTTGTATTGATGTAAACTGTTTATTTGTATATAATTGGTGAGTACGATTTATCATCTCAAGTCATAACTTTAGGTCATATTTCGCAGATACGTTCATGAAAATATCTACAACCAACTATCGCAAATCAATTATATATATATATATATATTAGAAGCGTATTCGCGCAATTCAGCGAGATACATCGTGTTTTTAATATTTCATTTTATACTTTATCTCAGTCGATGTTATAATATGACTTTATGTGATTTTGAGAAAGCGATGATGTTTTTATTTTTGAATAAAATATATATTTGACGATTTCATAAAAATTTGACAAAAATATATCGATATTAGTATCAAATTAACTATTCGAAATTCCTCATTTTTTTGTGTAATTTTTTAATCCATTTTTTTATAATTTAATTAATGTTCAATAACGAAGTAATTTATATTTGGTTTAATAATATAATTTTTTATAAAGATAATAATTATTTATTTTATTGGAACTCGATAATTATTCTAATTATATTTTAGATTTTTTATATTTTAAAATGAGATGTTTATCCTCTATTTGATTATGTTTATCCGCAGTTATCTATACGAATTCAAACATCGAGCTTTAATAAGTTGTACTTATGCATAATTACTTGTAATCTTGAATTTTAAGTAATATGCATCAATATACAGTTGTTTATGCATAACAAAAATATATCGATATTGGTATCAAATTAACTATTTAAAATTCCTCATTTTTTGTGTAATTTTTTAATTCAATTTTTTTATTATAATTTAATT